TTGCATTTATCTGGGATGCTGTTGCCCAAAACGGATTGAATTAGGGCAAGTTGAAGGAAAAGCTCACTGAAAATGGGCTGGGGTTAAGCTGCACTGAATTTTGGTGAATTGAATGGGACAGGGAGCTGCATTTCCACTGAAGCAAGGACAGGGAGGCAAAGCGAGTAAAATGAGGGCTGAAGGGAAGGCATCAGGGAAGGTAGGAAGCTGGAAGCAACTGGACAACAGGCATCAGTCCCACCTGGTGAGTGAGGAGAAGGCTGTGGGTGTGTCTACCTGGACTTCACCAAAGCCTTTGGTATCATCTCCCATGGGATACTCCTGGAAAAGCTGCAGCCCACGGCTTGGACAGGGGCACTCTGTGCTGGGTTAGGAACTGGCTGATGGCCAGACCCAGAGAGTGGCGGGGAACTGCATCCAGTTGGGATCCGGTCACCAGTGGTGTCCCCAGGGATCAGTGCTGGGCCCAGTCCTGTTTAATGTCTTTATTGATGATTTAGATGAGGGGATCGAGTGAACCATCAGCAAATTTGCAGATGACACCAAGCTGGGGGGGAGTGTTGATCTGCTGGATGGCAGGAGGGCTCTGCAGGGGGACCTGGACAGGCTGGATCCATGGGCTGATTCCAACAGGATGAGGTTCAACAAGGCCAAGGGCCGGGTCCTGCACTTTGGCCACAACAACCCCCGGCAGCTCCACGGGCTGGGAAAAAGTGGCTGGAGAGCAGCCAGGCAGGAAGGGACCTGGGAGTTTGGATGGACAGGAAGCTGAACAGGAACCAGAATGTGCCCAGGTGGGCAAGAAGGCCAATGGATCCTGGCCTGGATCAGGAAGAGTGTGGTAGCAGGAGCAGGGAAGGGATTCTCCCCTGGACTCAGCACCTGTGAGGCCTCCCCTGGAGTGCTGTGTCCAGCTCTGGGCCCTCAGTTCAGGAAGGCCATGGAGGGGCTGGAGCAGGTGCAGAGAAGAGCAACGAGGCTGGGGAAGGGTCTGGAGCTGGGGGGGCTCACCTTCCCAACACTGGCCTGAGCTACCATTCTTGTCCCTCTTGAAGACAGGAGGGACATTTGCCTCCCTCTGCTCCCAGGAACCTTCCTTGACCACCACAACCTTTCAAAGGTAAGTGAGGTGACCTTGCAATGACATCAGTACCCACAGATTCATCCTGTCATGGCCCATGAATTCTACATGTCTGGTTTGTCTTAGTGTTCCCTAACTTGATTCTCCTCCACTGAGGATAAATATTCCTTGCTCTGGTCCAGGAATTTCTGAAGGCTGATCTTAACAGTAAAGAGTTAAGTGAAGAAGACCTTGAGTACCTGGGCCATTTCCATGCTCTTTGTCACCAGAATTCCTACCCTGTTGAGCAGCAGGCCCGCATTTTTTCCTACTCTTCCCATTAATATGCCTGTAGAAAATTGTCTTGTTGTCCCTCACCAGATTTAATTCCAGATGGACTTTGATTCCCTGCTCCAGCCTCATCCATCAACTCTTTTTTATTAGTTTCTTCTGCAGATGGAGCCACATGGAGATCTCCAACACAGGGGAACATCACCCCAGTGCCAGAGCTCACATTTGTTGGCCCATCTCACTGGGCTTTTTGCAGCTCTGACAGCTTCCACCACATATGGAATCTTCTTCCATGGGAAAACATGGAATTGTTTTGTCCCAATAAAGGCAGGAATCCTCACTTCAGGGAATTTGGAGGCAGATGAGTTTTTGATGTATCCCACCAAGAGGTCACAGACTTCAAAAGAAAAGGAAAGACACGGGATAAGGTTTGGAATTGATGTTCCACCGTGGGATGGAATCACAAGAGTGGTTTCTTCTGGGTGAATGTTCATATAAAGATCTGCTGGGGTTTAAGACACCTCAGATACAACAAGAAAGAAACCTGTGCCACCCTAAATCCCAAAAATAGGGTTCTCAGTCAGGAGAAAGACTGGGAAGTCAAAGGGGCAGGATATTTCCCTTGGTTTTCTTTCTAAATGTCTTGTTAAAAAGAAGCTCTGATTCATATTTTTAGGGGGATAAAGATTCCTGTGTCAGGACTTCAAGGCTCAGTCAGAGCTTTGGGCTCTGAGGCTTCTCAGAGTCCATTTGATGGGTTGTCCCTGGAAATCACTTTCCCTTCACCAGTGATTTTAGCTGCAGGCCCCTTTCCTATATAATAATCATAATTCCTGAATCCCTGACCTTTACTCTTTCCAAGGTTCAATTCCCCAACTCCATAAGGAGCCAAAAGGGTCTTTCCTTTGTTTCTCCCAGGAATTCTGCTTTCCCAGGATATCATTTCCAAGTATACTTTCTGTGACTTCTATCAAGGACTGTTAACACCTCTGGCTTGGAAAGTCACTGAATTTAAGATTGTTGAACACTGGTTATAAGTTCCTCATATTTTTTTTCCCAGTGTTTATATTTCTCCTGGATATCTGCAGAATCCTGGAGACAGGATTCTGTTCCCAGATAACTATTATATTTTATAGTATCCAGATCTTAAATGACAGGCTGGAAAGACACGTTAAATATCATAACAACAGTGCTACAATGCATATATAATATTCACAGGCACACACAGCGGCACATTCAAGTTTAATTCAGAGAGATTTCCCGAAGGAAAAATCAGTTCCTTATACTCTGATTTATTCTGATGTCTTATTCCTTTCCATCTCCATTCATCAAGGCCTGAATGGGATACCAGCTTTAATAGCTGCTAATTAGCAATATAAACCATCCACCCTGTAAATCAACGGCAGAATAACACTGAAAAGGGAAAAAAAAACCAAACATGTCATAATAACAGTTGGGTCCAATGATTGAAAGGGGGGAAAATGCAGTTGGATTCTTAATGTTGAGAGCAATTAAGAAAGAAAGGAGAAATTACTGGTTTTCTCATGTGAATTTGAAGCAATTAAAAAGGGCACAAAATAAACCTCGGGCCTGGAATCCCTCTGACTTCCTCGTGTCAGCTCCTCGCTGTGTTTCAGGAGCAGAAGCAGAGTTGTGTGTGTGTTTATTGGCAGCTCCTGTTTGGTTTTGTGCTGGAATGGGAAAGCAAAGCTCCAACTTCCACGGATTTCCCACAAGGACAACTGGGAAGAGGAGCCACATTTTGGATTCGGTTCCTGGCCTTCATTTCAGTGGGTGCAGCTGTTTTGCTTTTGCCTGGAGTGTTGGCATGTGCTAATTGGGCAAAGAACAGTAATTAGTCGGTGTGTGTGGGAGGTGATTTGTCTGGATCCCACCACGGAGCCTCCCAGAAGGCACGGGTGCTCCAAGGGATGATATGAACACCCTTTAATTGGCTGGACCACGGGTTCAAAGAGCAGTTCCTGCTCTAGAAACACCTCAAATTTGTGGCATCTTCCTCCCCCTCCCCAAATCCTTCCTGCTCTGAGTGGAAGTATTGACATCCATTTAAAAAATAGGAGATTTCCAGGGAGGGGAAAAAAAGGATAATTTCTGGACATATCATGAGATTACATGTCACAGAGTCACAAAATCACAGAATATGCTGAGTTGGAAGGAACACACAAGGATCATCGAGTCCAACTCCTATCCCTGCACCCATTCCCAAGAGTCACACCATGGGCCCGAGAATAAATTCATTAGAGAAAAAGCGTTCTAAAATCAACCAACAAGGGAATTTTAAAAAGGTGCTGCTGAGATTAGCACAAAATTCCTCTGAATCCAAAAGTTAAAGCCAATCAGAAAAGGGACAACTGTTTATGTGAAGCATTTCAAGTTAGAGTCCATTTAGAAGGTGTTGGAACCGACAAAGTCCATGTGTCTGTCTGTCTGTCTGTGCAGCTCATTTCCCTCAAGAGCTTTGAAAATCCTCCTGGAACACCTTGCATCAGTTTGTGGGGAGAATATTCAACCTTATGGGATCATAAAAAAAATATATCCCCATCAACCAGCTTCTGCAACCCAGATTTGGCAAATATTTTATAAATTCCCTATGAAATTCCTTGTGGAAAGAATCAGTTCCCTATATATGCGTGTATAAACATATTTCTGTGTATATATAAATATGTATACTTGGATCTATGTGCGTATATACATACACACATACATATATATATATATTTAAAGTTGGGCAGGCACTGAATAAATTTTTGGGTAGATGATTTTCTCCTGCAGTGAATGTTTTTTCTGGGGAGTTCAACCAATTTCCTTCTTTCCCATCAACTCCCCAGCATTTCCCCTTCATGGTCCTGTTTCTCAGGTGTCTATAAAGTGGACTCAGAGGAGCTCTTGGTGCCCTCCTGCCTTTCCAAGAACCCAGGAATGAGGGTGAGCTCCTGTAAAAACCCTTTTCCTGTGTAATCCTGTTTATTAAAAGTTAGTAATTAGTCTATGGATGGTGTTGCTTTCCAAGTCAGTCACTGCAAGCCAGAACTACTTTTTCTATTGTTTCTATTTAAAAACAAACACACATAAAAAAAAAAAAAAAAAAAGATGATGAATCATCATCAGATATTCTGTAAAACCCCAGATATTTCTGGAAAAGGCCAGAGCCCTCCACAAAAAAAAAAAAATAAATAAAATTAAGTGTTTAAAGAAATGTTATATAATGTGAAGGTTTACAATGGAATACATTAAATTCTTAGGCAGTTCATGCTATACTTTCCTTCACTTCCCACTGCTCCTAATAATACTCTTTGTTCCAATCTAAACCAATCTTTCTCCTTCTTTGTTGTTTGTTCCACTCTGCAAAGGCTTGTAGACAGTTCTGGTCCCCTTAGTCATAGATTAGACAAATTGCACGTATTGTTTCCTTTTAATCTCATCTCCCTCCTGACTTTTTAAATGCTTGGAGTTGTTCTCCACCATCCTCTGCAGTTTACCGACACTGCCTTGATATTTTGATGTGCTCAACAAGCACGATTCCACAGTGGGAGTCAGGTACATGCTCAATCCTGGCTGCTCAGCAGCATTTTGGGGAAGAAACATCTCATTCCTGATTGCACCAGAACATGTGATTTTGACAGAGCTGTTGCAAAGAGATATTTTAATTAAAGAAAAGGCTCGGCCTCTTCTGCCGTGAAATTAATGGTAGGACGTGGGAAAAGGGCCTCAAGTTGTGCCAGTGGAGGTTCAGGTTGGATTTTAGGAAGCAAATATTTACTGAAAGAGTGGTTGAACATCAGAACAGGCTGCCCAGGGCACTGCTGGAGTCACCAGTCCTGACCATGGCACAGGAACAGCCTTCGTGGTTTCGTTTTCACATTCTTTCCTTCCACAAAGTGATGTCTTTAGTTGAAAGGAAGACTTCATCTTTTCACTTGAAGCTTGAAATTCATCACTGACATCAGCTCTGGACTCTTAATTTCTCTTCCCCTCAGCAGGAAAGGTCCTTTGGTGCTAGTACCTAATGGGAGGTGCCACCTGAGGCTGCATAAAGTGCTGCTGGGTTGTTTTAATTAACAAAATAAAGATGGGATGATTCACCTGGTCTGATTTCCTTGTCCTTCAAGACAAACTGCTTTTCCTGCTCTTTTTGTGCACCTCGGTTTGCCGGACTCCCCTCTTTGCCTGGGAGGCACAAGGATCTCGAGGACTTGCCACTGGTTTGGAAAATGAGTGGTGGGAGAAATCCAGGCCCTGGGGCTTGACTGCAATGACCAAAAAAGAGCTTGTGAAAGAGCAACCAAGCAGTTACAGCTGATAGTCACTGCTCTGACAGAAGAGGGCAATATTTCCTTCACCAGCAGCACACTGACACTGCAGTGCTGTATAAAAGACTATCAGTAAAAGACATCATCTCAAAGAACTTGTAGCATAAAAGTTATAAAGCCACAGACTCATCAGGAAAAAATATTCAAAAAAGATTGTTCTGCCTCGAACTGGTGCAGCTTAACCTTGTTTAGGTTGGAAGAGGATTTCTGTGCTTCAGGGAATCGTAGAATCATTAAGTTTGGAAAAGAGCTCCAAGATCATCAGGTTCAGTCTCTCAACCTTCACACTCAACCACATTGGGAAGTGCCACATCTCATTTTTGGAACACACAGCCCTTCAATCCAGCTTGTACAGATCCCTCTGTAGGTCCTTCCTTCCCACAGGCAGATGGATTTCAAGCCCCACACTGGTATGCTGTCCTTAGGCCCATCTCTAGCAAGACTGGTTTTATCCCCTTCCCCCTTCAAACCTGGTTTAAAGCCCTCACAGTCAGCCCCCAACTCATGGGACAGAATCCTTTTCCCACTTTGAGATGGCAAAACCGAGATGCCACCAGCAGATTTGGTGATCCAAAAAGCCAAAATTCCAACCGAGCCAGGAGTTAAATCAGGTGGGAAGGAAAAAGTCAAAATTCCACCTGAGCCAGGTGTGAATCAGGTAGAAGGGAAATAGCCAAAATTCCATCTGAGCCAAATGTGAATCAGGTGGGAGGGAAAAAGCTAAATTTCCATCTGAGACAAGAGTTAATCAAGTGGGAAGGAAAAAGCCAAAATTCCACCTGATCCAGGTGTGAGTCACATGGGAGGGAAAAAGCCAAAATTCCCTCTGAGCCAGGAATTAATCAGGTGGGAGAGACTTCCCTCTTTGACCTCATCACTGTCGACCTGAATAACCAATAGTAGGCACCAGTCCAAGGGTTGGACAAGAACCAGGGAGATTCCTGGGAATGCCTCCTACACTGGGAGGCAGCAGAATTCCCTCTGGGATGAATCTGGGCAGCAAACAAGTTGTCAGGAGTGGGATTCGAACCCACGCCTCCAGGGGAGACTGCGACCTGAACGCAGCGCCTTAGACCGCTCGGCCATCCTGACCTCTGGAATTTACCCCTTTCCGTGTCCTTTGGAACAGCCTGGAAAGTTGTCATGGATCCAGTTTGTCCTTCAAGTGTGTGGAGCACTTCCTTGGGCATCCAGGACTCTCCTCTGCACTCCAGCTGGGAAGCAACTGCCTGGACTCTGGAACAGAGAGGAGTTGGAGCCGGGTGGGGATCAGTCCCTGCTCCCAAGGAACAAGTGATGGGACAAGAGGAAGGGGCCTAAAATGCACCAGGGGAGGTTTAGCTTGGATATTAGGATAAATTTCCTCACTGAAAGGGTGGCCAGGCAGTGGAATGGGCTGTGCAGGGAAGTGGTAAAATCCCCATCCCTGGAAGTGCTCAAATGGACTTCAGTGTTCGAAGGTACTCAAAAAGTGTGGATGTGGCACTTGGGGATATATTTTAGTGGTGGACACAGTGATTCTGCATTAACCATTGGACTTGATGATCTTAGAGGTCTTTTCCAACGTTAATAATTCCATGAGAAGGTCTGATGTTCTCTCCTTCCTCCCCCATCACTAAGTGGAGCAGGAGGTAAAAAATTAAGCTGGGCTTAAGCAGTGAAATGCCACAAACCAGCAGAATTAAGGAGGGAAAAAAACCCCAAAGAACCACCAGAATGACAAATTAAAAAAAGATACACTAATTTCTGGCACATTCCTTTACCTCTGACAACTCCTTTCTTTCACTTTCTCCTTTTTTTTTTTTTTCCCTTTTCTCTTTGTAAAGTGCTGGAATTTTTTGAACAGTCTTTAGATGAGTTGACACTGACTTATGCACAAGGTGATGTCTGTGTGTGTGCAGGAAGGGAGCTTTCCTCTCATCCCAACCTCAGCCTAGCTCCCCAGAGAGGCTCTGAGCTTTTGAGAGGGGCAGCAGAACAGCAGGACTTCTCTAGGACCAGAGAAAGGGCCGAGGAAATGCACTTTCAATGGAAAGGAGAGACTTTTTATTCCAAGACAAAGTGAAATTGTGGTAAGGGATAAATCTTTCAGAGTGGCAGGAGTGGCCAGCAAATTATAGAAGAGGAAGAAAAAGCCATGGAAAATAAATATTGCCCTTTATACAACATATGCTGGGTGTTGGAAATAAATGATCTTTAAAGTCCCTTCCAACCTAAACCATTTTATGATTCTATAATTATCTATATACACCATTACAGAGGATTTTTCACTAAACTGTTATAACTGTATCATTAGAGGAACACTTCAGTATTCTTATTAACTTTATTCTGCTAAAGAATTTCCTGAACTGGTGAGGGAGTAGGTTCAGGATGTCTATAATTATCAGCTGCTTCTGCCCACATTCCTGGCTGATGGAAAATTATTAATCTTGAGCCCTGGCTAATGGCCCATGTTGGGAGACAGAGGAGATTTGCTCAGGCTTGGCACTTCAAATCCCCAGTTCCTCCTGTGAACCTCCACAGGTTTTAGCAGATGCAAAGCACTGTGTTATCCCTGCCCATCCCAGGGATGTGGCCTTAAGGACATGACTTTTGTCATGGGAGACAGCAGGGGCTGGGAAGGGAATCAAACAGCAGGGAATTGAGTATCAACCCACCACCAACCCAACATGCCTCCTGGCTTTGATTAAAGATAGATATGGAGGAAAAACCCTATGAGGAGAGGTTGAGGGAGCTGGGAGGGCTCAGTCTGGAGAGGAGGAGGCTCAAGGGAGACCCTCTCATTCTCTTCCAACTCCCTGGCAGGAGAGGAGAGCTGGGGGGGAGTCGGGCTCTTCTCCCAGGAACCAGCAGTAGGACACAAGGGCACAGCCCTGAGCTGTGCCAGGGGAGGTTTAGGTTGGACATGGGGAAGAAGTTCTTTCCAGAGAGAGGGATCAGCCCTTGGAATGGGCTGCCCAGGGAGGGGGTGGAGTCCCCGTCCCTGGGGGTGCTGAAGCAGAGCCTGGATGTGGCATCAGTACCATGGGCTGGGTGCCAAGGTGGGGTTGGGGCACGGGTTGGACTGGATGATCTCAAGGTCTTTTCCAACCTTGTTGATTCTGGGATTCTGGGATTCTCTGAAAAAGGGCAGGAGGGAAGCCAGAGGCCCTGAGTGTTGACTTAAAAGGTGTTCAGGTTCCTCGAGCTCTTTGGGAACTGGTGGCATCTGGCTGTGGGTGGACACCGGTGACTAAGGGAAGGTGTTTTGCAGAGCTCCAGCTGGTGAGGAATGAGCTGTGTGAGGGAAACACAAAGCCAAGGGGTTTCCATTGGGTAAACAGTCTGCATTTGGAATGCTTTGTATGAGAATAAACAGCCTGCCCAAAGCAACCTGCCAACTTCCCATCAACACTGTGTCCTTTTAAAGCACTTTTTTTTCTTTTATTTCTCACAGCTTCACATCCTCCCAGGCAGGATCGTGTGGCAGTTTTGGAATCAATGAGGCATTTGGCATTTCCCTCTCACCTTGCCTGCCTTTGGGTTGGCACAGCTCCACAGCCCAGGTTTTGTGCCTGTGGATCTCTCTTGTTGGAATATTAAAAGAAATGCCACCGTGGCTCATCCTGGCTGGAGGGAGGAGAGGGGGCAGGGGAGTCTCTGTGGCTCATCCTGGCAGATGAATCATGAACTCAGAGGGACATTTTGGAGGGTCAGGGCAGCCACCACCTACTGAGAACAAGGGCAGAGCCACAATCCAAGGCCAGGCTCCTTCACAAAAGGTCACTCACTCAGGGAACATTCCCAGGGACCTCTGCACTATCCTAATCAGTACAAATACTGGAATATGCTTTAAATACTGATCTCATGCCCAGCAAGTGGCATCTTTAAGTGGGAGAGAGGCCAGAGCTCTCATGTCCAGTGTGTGAACCTCTCCTTTGATTACTGGGGCTTTGCAGGTCTGAGGGTGTCACACTGTTACCCCCCAGCAGCTTGGGAAGGTCCAAGAAAAAAACTACCATTTAGGAGTTGGAGCTATTAAACTGTATTTTTGTAGGCACTCCAAAATTTACACTGAGCTAACACAGGTTATCACGCAGAGGGAAAGCAGAGGGGCAGCACTGATCTCTTCATGGTGGGCAGTGACAGGAGCTGAGGGAATGGCTGGAGCTGTGCCAGGGGAGGGTTAGGTTGGATCTCAGGAAAATGTTCTTCATCCAGAGGGTGGTTGGGCACTGAACAGGCTCCCCAGGGGAATGGGCACAGCACCAAGGCTGCCAGAGCTCCAGGAGTGTTTGGACAATGCTCTCAGGCACATGGTGGGATTCTTGGGGATGCTCCTGTGCAGGAACAAGAGCTGGATTGATGATCCTTGTGGGTCCCTTCCAACTCAGGATATTCTATGATTCCATGTTTCCAGGAGTGTGCTGGCCCTCAAATTATCAGACTGATCAAAAATATCCTATTTCTACCAGGGAAGTGTCTCCAACCAAGCTGCTTCAAGTGGAATCCAATGGTGAAGGAGCCAAAGGAAGGCAATTCCACAGGATCACAGATGACAGGCCCATGAATTTGGTGATGACCAGCCCAAGGACCACTTGTGAGCTGTGGCTCCTAAATGAGACTGTCTAACACCCCATCCCACTGCATTTTGGAAATTTCCAGTGATGAGGACTCCACCACCTCCCTGTGGAGGTTGTTCCACTGATTGAAAAAATTCTTTGTTATATCAAGATGAAAACTTTCTGACATGCCCACATTCAATTCATGCTCCCACTGCTTGGCAGAAATATGTGACTCTAATTAGTCAATGCTTATTAAGGGAAAGACTTTATTTCAGAAGACTCCCTTAATTTTTCACTCATTATTTGGGGGCAGGGGGATCAGGAGGTTTATTTATTTAATTAGCTTAGACGTAGGGGGCTTTCAGTGCTCATCAAGAGGTGTAATTAAGCCAAAGGCACTTGCTCCAGGCACAGATCTCCAGAGCGTGAGAAGACAAGGGAGAGGCTGATTGGTCACAGCCTGGAATCAAGGAAGGAGTCCTTAAATCCCAGCCCTGTGCAAACCAAGATGCAGAGGAGTTTTCCTTTGGAATAAAAAGGATTTCTACACGGTTTTAGCCAAGCGGGAAGTGCCAGAGGCCCCCGTCTGCGCTGCTGCCCATCCCAACATCCCCAGGGTGCCGGGATGTCGCTTCCAGACTCTCAGAGAGTGAAGGAGCGGGACAGCAGTGGGACCGCTTTGTCTGTCCATGAGCACTGCTGCCCTCTCCCGGCTCCAAAGCAGATAAAACCAGAGGAATTCGGCTTGGGAAGGACGGGAATGATAGCAGGGAGTGCAGGAACAACGCGGGGTGTGGGTGTGTGTGTGTGCACAGCCCGCTGACGATTTTGGGGCAAATCCACACTGCCTGCAGATGCTCCCCCGATATCCTCACAGCCACTGAGGTTCTGCAGAGCGGCTCCTGCTTCCCGGAGTTTTGTCACTCTGTAGGGATCATGGAATAGTTTGAGTTAGAAAGGACCTTAAAAATCGTTCAGTTCCAATGTCTTGCCATGGGCAGGGATGCCACTCATTATCCCAGTTTGCTCCAAGCCACATCCAGCCTGGCCTTGAACACTTCCAGGGATGGGGCAGCCACAGCTTCTGTGGGCAAGGGATGGCAGGATCTGTCTGTAGAGGGCACCCAGGCTATTCCCAGCTGGGGAAACAGGGATTTCAGGTGTTTCTTCATGAAAATCAGACTTTTTTTGACCTTCCACAGATTTGCTGGAGGTTTTGCACCCCTGTCAAGCACTGGAGCTTTGCAATGACTTCTCCTTTCTTCTGCCAAGAGCCACTGTGTGCCCCAAAACACGTGTTCGTACACTGACAGGGAGGCTGTGTTGGCACCTTGGGCCATTGCTTTGAGCCCAGTCTGTCTCCATCCTGTTCCCTGAAACAACTTCTTTGTTTCCCAAGCCAAAATCAACTAAAGGCTTCTCAAAAAGGCTGAAAGATCATCATATTTCAACAGGTTTTGCAACAATTGCAGCCTCAGCAGGGCTGAAGTAGCTCAGCTGGGAGAGCGTTAGACTGAAGATCTAAAGGTCCCTGGTTCAATCCCGGGCTTCAGCAGGGTTTTCCTGCCCTTTTTGTGTGCCCAGGGCTGGGATTCCAGTACAACAGACACACAGACAGGTGGGAGAGAGTCCAGCAAAGGGCCAGGAAGGTGATCACAGAATGGGAAAGGTTGGAAGGGACCTCAGCGGGTCATCCGGTCCAACCTCCCTGCTCAAACAGGATTGTGTTCAGACTCGTCTGGAATATCCCCAGTGAGGGAGGCTCCACACTCTCTCTGGGAAACCTGTTCCAGTACTCAGTCACTGCCCAGCAAAGAAGTTCTTCCTCTTGTCCAGGTGGAACTTCCTGGGCATCAGTTTGTGCCTGTTCCTCTTGTGCCATTGCTGGCCCCCCCGAGCAGAGCCTGCTCCATCCTCTGCCCCCTCCCTGCAGACATGGACAGACAGGGATGAGGTCCCCTCTCAGCAACTCTTTTTTGGAGCTGAACATGTCCAACTCTCTCAGCCTTTCCTCCCAAGAGAGATGCTCCAGTCCCTCCATCATCCTTGTTCCCCTTTTCTGTTGTTCTCCTCTGCTGCTGAATCTCTACAACTGCAGGCCAAGGGCTAGAAGACCAAAGAAAATGAGCTGGCATTTGTTCTCAATCCTGAATCCAAGTGTCTTACAGAGATTTTGTCCATATGGACAAACTTTCACCCTCCTTTTCCCCCTCAAACCAGGGACTCACATCCCTGTCACCTCCTGGGACTTGTCTGGCTTGAGCCAACTTACAAACTGGGCCAGAACATCAACAGGGAGAGCTTGACATGAAAAAGAAAAAAACTTTACAAACATCCTGAAAGTTTTTCTTGCAGTGCTGGAAATGTGGAAAGTCTTACTTGGGTCTGACAAGATGTTGGCTCAGAAAAATCATACATTTGCTGAGCTGTGAACATGATTCCCAGGGAAAATGTGCTCACTCCTCAACTCACGTGGCATCTTCACATGGAACTTCAGGTGGATCTGTGAGTCCTTTGGAAGAGAGAGGATCTTCCCAACAAACTGACCTCATGCAGGCAACTCGAATAACTCAGTCTTGGAAAGCCCTCAGCTGAAAGTCAAAGGGGTGAAATTCTCTCCCTCACCTTTCTTTGGCAAGGAGAGAAATACCAGCAATATTTGAAAATAAGCAGACAGCTCCACTAAACATATTTTTATCTGAAGTCAAGCAACTAATGCAAAGTATCCTACACACACTTGAACCCTGCTGGAAGAAGGCCAGTCCAAAGGGAAGACAGTGCTTTAAAATAGAAGAGAGACAAGTGGAGAAATGGTAACTAATCATGTGAAGAACAAAAGAAAAATCAAAGGTCAGTTCTGAAAACTGAGGAAAGCATCCAAAACCAATTAAGGAACGCTTAGAGTCTGAAGCCCTTTGTATGCAAAGTCTGCATCTCTAGATGAGTCATCTCTCCAGCCTGTAAACTTCGTGTTTTTCTTCTCCCAGTGCCTTTCCAGGAAGGTACCTTCACCAATCCCAAGCACAACTTCTCCCAGCCCACCTGCTCATCCAAGCAGCTTGGAAACGAGGGGAGCGAAGTCATTCCTGCAGCGGATATGAAGACTTGGAAGAGCTGCAGAGCTGCCTATGTCTAATGGTGGGTCAGCTGAAGCCAAACCCATCTCTCCCTGGGTTTTCTCCTTTACTCACCAGCCCACAGCAAATGCCAAGTGCTGCTGTTCCTGGCGGAGCTGCCGACAGTCGTGATTCCTCGGAGCTGAAAATAGGAACGGTGCTGGCAGCAGCTGATGCTTTTGCTCACAGCTCCCAACTGAGTGGGCTCCCTCCAGAAAGCAGATGGCCAGGGAGGAACTCCAGCAATTTGCTACAAAACAGCCCCAAAGTCCCCCTTCTCCCACTGCTCTGAGAGCTCAGCATTTCATGACATCTAGTGGGCAAGGCAGAAACTTGTGCCGAGAGGAATCCCTTGGAATGCAGCGAGTGAACTGGCCCCAGAGAAGGAGAGAGGTGGAATTAAATAAGGAAATAAAAAAGGACAAAAAAAAAAAGCTGATTTCCTCCTTTGAGCTGATTTCCTCCTTTGAAAGAGTTACAATCCCAGCAGAAACTCCGGGGGGAGACAGGGAAGGAAAACAACATTGTGGAGAGAACAAGTGATTTGAGAAAGATCGTACATCAGGTCAGCCCCATAAAGTCAGTTATATTCAACCCTGGCCCTCTTCTTCAGCAGTTTCTCCTGCCTCCTGGAGAGAGGAAACCTGAGCTCTCTTAGCAGGGACATCACCCAGAAGTGCCAGAAAAAGGAGAAAATTTCCTCAGAGAAACCTGTGGATCTATTTTATGAGGAAACCAGGAGTTATCTAACAGGGAAAGTGTGACAGTGGAACACGTCACCAAAGTGTGAGATGTGAACCCCTCAGGACAAGAAAGACATTGAGGGGCTGGAGCATGTACAGAGATGAGAATGGAGCCAGGGAAGGGGCTGGAGCACCAGGAGCAGCTGAGGGAGCTGGGAGGGCTCAACCTGGACAACAGAAACCTCAGTGGGGACCTTCTTGCTCTCTACAACTCCCTGATGGGAAGTTGGAGCCAGGTGGGGGTTGGTCTCTTCTCCCCGGTAACAAGTGACAGGATGAGGGGAAACGTCCTCAAGTTCCATCAGGAGAGGTTTAGGTTGGATATTAGGAACAATTTCTTCACTGAAAGGCTGGTCCAGCCCTGGCACAGGATTCTGAGGGCAGTGGTGGGGTCACCATCCCTGGAGACGTTTAAAAGATGTGTAGATGTGGCACTTAAAGACATTGTTTCACAGAGGACTTGGCAGTGCCGGGTCAACAGTTGGACCTGATGATCTTGGAGGTCTTTTCCAAGCTTAATGATTCTGTGTTTCCAGATTCCTGACTTGGGCATCAGAGACAGCCTGAAAACAACTAAAATCACCTGCCCACTCAGAGTTTGGGAGCCAATTTAGATTCATCTTCCCTAGTCTAGACACTATCCTTAGCATGGGGTGCCTTGTTTACTAAAAAGACCAAATTCCCTCAATTCCTTTAAAAATAACCTACCTCTATCCATTCATTTGGAGGAACATGTCAACATCTGGCCAGATGAAACCCATCTCAATGGACCAGAGCATCCAGATCTACCTGCTCTTGGGTTCTCTGCAAGTTTTAGCACAGGGCCTCACTGTCTTTCACTGAGATATTTGCAGAACTCAATAGATGGAAAAGAAAACACTGAATTCAAGAGGGATTTGTGGGTCTGTGGCCCTCCAATGTTTTGCAGTTGAGTGTGAGGGGAGAGATTAACCCTGATGCTGCCAGGGAAGTTTCTGAAGTCTTCATTCTGAAGGATGAAACCAGTGATGAGGTAACGAGATGAAACAAGAGAGATCCAGTTTCTTCAAGGGTCCCACTGTGTGTTCATCACATCCTGGGCTTTCTTTCCTGCTTTGTTTTATCCCTCTATGTCTAAATATCCCCTCTCCCTTAGGGGCTCTAAGACACATTCACCCCTTTCCTTTCCTGCTCAGAGAATTACTTACCCCATTCTCCACCCTCCTGTGAGGAGCAGAGTGAATTTATTCAAGTTGCAAAAGACAACTTTTGTTGCCTCTGCCCAAAGATTTTCCTCGAACCACCTAATTGAAAGAATCCCAGGAGCTCCTGTTTGCTTTCAGAGATCACCTCACTGATTGCTGCTGTGTTGCCTTGCTTTACTTTCCTGGCTGTGCCTTCCCAGAGCTGTTTCTGTTCCAGAATTTCTGAGTCGTGGAGGAAAAGGAAAAAAAAAATTAAAGAAAATAACTTTCTCCTTTGAGCCAAGCACAAATTAGGCAACTGAGCAGACAGAACTGATCCAGGGGAGAGTGGATTTGTAATCTAAATTACCGTGGGATAAAAGCACCGTCCTCTCTCTGTTCTTTAATTTAAACATTGTTTCCCATTCTTCTTCCCTTTCTGTTAGACTAATTTGGTCTGAGGGCAAGGAAATCTCGTTTGCATGTTTTAGAGGACATTAATTACAAGTCCTTTCCCTTCAAGCCCTGGTACTCCCTCACTGACTGGGAGCTCCTGTGTCTGCAGCTCTGGCTCCTCAGGGGGCCCTTAATTATTGAGCCCATTGAGCTGTACCTGAGTAACGAGCTCGGGAGTGAGCGGTGCCTCCCTGGGGGTCTGGCTGGAAGGAGAGGAGGGGCACTGGGATGGGGATGAGCCGCAGAGCAGCAATTCCAGTTTAGGAGGAGGTGTGAGTGTGAGAAGGACAGAGCAAGTGTCATAGAAGCGTAGAACCATAGAAACATAGAACCAGAGTCATAGAATCATGGAATCACAGAATGGTTTGGGTTGGAAGGGACCTTAAAGATCACTTAGTTTCAACCCCCTGCCATGGGCAGGGACACCTTCCACTAGCCCAGGTTGCTCCAAGCCCTGTCTAACCCGGCCTTGAGCACTTCCAGGGATGGGGCAGCCACAGTTTCTCTGGGCAACCTGTGCCAGGGCCTCCCCACCCTCACAGGAAGGACTTTGTCCCTAATACCTAACTAAACCTACTGTCAGTTTGAAACTATTCTCCTTTTTCCTAGATTATCAGTCTTAATAAAGCCAGGAGGTCCTGGCACAGGTTGCCCAGAGAAGCTGTGGATGCCCCATCCTTGGAAGTGTCCAAGGCCAAGTTGGATGGGGCTTGGAGCAACCTGAGCTAGTGGGAGGTGTCCCTGCCCATGGCAGGGGGATTGGAACTCAATGGTCTTAAAGATCCCTTCAAACCCAAACCATTCTATGATTCTATGATTGAAGTGCCCTAATCCTATCCCAGATTCCCTGTCCCACAAAGCCTGGAATCACCAGATTCAGGACTCCAGTCAAGGTCTGGTTTTGGCCTTGCCATGGCAGAGGGTTGATGACACCCCAGCATAAAATGCCTTGAGCATCCCTTCCTCACCCAGGCCTTCTGCTGCACTGACACATGAAATTCAGGATGCAGTTTGTGCCATAAATTCACCCATGGTAAATATTTGGAGTCTTTTTAGGGTTATCAGTCACCAAATCTGAGGAGTTGGTGGCCTCAAGCACCATTTCAACTGTGATGTCCCACATCCCAGTGCTGGTGACCATTTCTTACCTGACCTCTTGCATCCTGTTCTGTCAACAATCACCTCTGGTGTCGTGTTCTGTCTGTCAAAAACCTCTGAAGAATTTGTCCAGTAAGGAAAAATCTGTCCTGCTTTTTTTTCCTGTGGTCACCCTTCTTAGCTTTGTATCTTCTAGGTTCCACTCTAAGGTGAGGAAAGATCTTGAGAGCAGGTTTAAGTTTCACCATAATATTTCCATTTTTCCCCCACATACCTGGAGTTTCCCCCTGGAACTGCTCAGGCTCAGAGGTTACATTTGGGTTGGTCTATTAAAAATTACCAGCTCTGGTCTCCCCTGACACAGAATGGCTTTATGATAAACCTATTTTTCTTGAAAAACAGGGTAATCATGTACAAATTTCTTCACCCATATCATACCCTGGAATTGTTTACGACAGTGTTAACTTATCAAGGCACAAAACCCAACCAACCAAGCATGAAATGGGTCACTCCAAAAGTATAATAGAGCAAAAGATTGACTTCTAGGCTTTGGGAACATCAGTTGAACTCTTCTTACAAAGCGTTTCTTGGGATGAACTGGGCTGAGTCTGCTCCCCTTGGATGATCCAGATCTTATAAATGAGTTTGGGCTCATTTTGAAGCACAGAAATATTCAAGCTCTCCCTTTCTTGCAGAGCTCCTGGGCTCTGGTTATTAAATCCTTCAGTGATGCTGCTGTGGAGTGGATGAGTCTGGACATGAGGCTGGACCTGGAACCCAGCCTGATCCAATGTGTGGATTTTTGTGCTGTAGGTCATAAGAGATTTCAGTTCCTTGGGAAAACAGTCCCATCTGAAAAGTTCCCTCTCAGCACCTTGATCAAACCATTTGGGAGACAGGCCAAGCCAGATGGAAGGTGTCCTTAGAGGTCATCAGCTCAATCCCCAAATTAAAGACCTCTTCCTGTGCTCCATTCTCCTCATTAGGAAGTTTTTCCTGAGTGTTTGGTGCCACTGACTCCTGCCAGTCCTCCTCCAGAAGATGGCAGGAGGCTGGATTTGCTCCTCAGTGCATCTGTCTCATGGCACTGACAGCAAACCCTGGATGTTATTTCCAGAGGTTTGTTGTGGCAGGGAGGGGAGGGCTGGGGGCCATTTGTGTGGCTGTCTGTGAACAGCAATGAAATTTAAGCCTCTGCTGTGTTTTATTTATGGGGTGTTTCCAGATGCTGAGTGCAGAAATCATTTGCTTAATAAATAATCCAAATAAACAGACTTTCCAAGTGCCTCGTGCTCACAGCCCAGACAGCCACACACTGAGTGACAGCCTGCCAGGGAGCTGGAGGCTCTGGAGGAGCTCTGTTTTCATGGAATCGTTAAGGTTGGAAAAGACCTCCAAGATCATCAAGTCCAACCTTTGACCGAACACCACCGGTCCCACTAAACCATATCTCCCAGTGCCACATCTCCTCATTTTTTGAGCACTTCCAGGGATGGTGACTCCATCACTTCCCTGGGTAGCCTGTTCCAGTGCTTAACCACTGTTTCAGTGACGAAATTTTCCCTCCTATCCAACCTGAACATCCTGTGGCACAGCTTGGGGTTGTTTCCCCTTGTCCCATCACTTCCTACCTGGGAGAAGAGACCAACCCTCACCTCACCACAACCTCCTTTCAGGGAGTTGTAGAGAGCAAGAAGGTCTCTCCTGAGCCTCCTCTTCTCCTTTTTGAGCTCTTCCTCAGTAATGAGTGACTAAGGGATGGGCAATTCCTTTTCCAGCTGGAAAAGTTTTCCTCTTTTTTCCAGAGACCCATCAAGTACCACAGAGGACACTGAGTAGCACATTACACTCAGTGCTGCAAGATGTGGCTTCAGTGTCTTTAGGCAGTGGAGTTACCTTGGGAAAGTTATCCAGGGTACTAAAACCTGAGAGATTTAACATCCATTGTCAAACATGGGAAGAGGCTGCCCAGGGAAGGGGTGGATTCACCATCTCTGGAAGTGTTTAAAAGCCACGTGGATGTGGCACTTGAGGATTTAGTGGTGAACAAGGTGGTGGTGACAGTTGGACTTGATGATCTCAGAGGCCTTTTCCAAGCTTTTTGATTCTACTATTTGAGCTGATCCTCCAGGACCCTTTTTCCTCTTTGCTGAAGTTGTTGAGTCAGTTAATTGGCCTGATCATTGTTTTCTGGAGCTGTTTGAGGTGTCTCAAGGGGTCCTGCATGTCTGATGGAGGGGCTGGATTTCCTCTTGGTTCTCTGTCCTGTTGACCAGCAATATGTAGACGTATTAGATGAGTTGACTAAGTTTCAATAAATACTGGTGCCAAGGTCACACACAGTAGAATGTGGAGAACTAGATGACCTTGAAGGTCCCTTCCAACTCAAACCATTCTGTGATTCTATAATTTATCTCATCCTAAACTAGACAGGGACATTCCCACCCTAAACTCCGTTCAGTTTGTTAATTTGATTGTCTTTAACCATAATGAGAATGAAGATAATTAACCAGATGCAAACAACTAAGGCCCAGACACCCAGAGCTGTGCAGATGAATCCCACTCTTCACCTGGGCCTCGGTTTCTTAGCAGGAAGAGGAGATTAATCCCACTTATTTATGTTGTAAGGCTAAAGAAAAATGTCAGGATATTCAACAGCAGGAAAATGAGGTCAGCAGTGAGAGCTTTCCTCTGCTGTGGCTTCATGGCACTAGTTGGGAGAACACCCCAGTTCTGGCTAAGTTTAGGCAGATAAAAACAGATTTTAAGGCATTTCTTCCTCCTCACATTCTCATCCTGGACAGAGTTTCAGAGCAGAGTTTTTATTCCCTTCTGTACCCTCAGAGAGAACATTGTTTCTCCATCCATATAGATGAAGAAAGAGTCATGTCAGCAGCAGAGTGACAGGAGGAAATGGATAATAAATGTTTTTACATGAGCTGTTCCAGCTCTTGCTGCAGTGGAATCAATCCAGGAGACGGCAGCAGCAGCACAAAGTGATTTGTAAGAGCATGTCCTGGGACACTCAAAACCAAAACATGTGTTAACACAGGGACAGGAGGACTTTAAATGCTTCTCTTTAAAGTCTTTAAAGTTTAAAGGAGTGTGGGACAGAATAAGGAGGCAGAGGTTGCTGAGAGATCCCTGGAAAAGTGAAGGATAGCAGAGAGAAAGTAGGAAGACTGAGGAAACAAAAATAGAGGACTTTTTTTTTCTATAACATTTGTGTCTAGTGCGTAGCCTTTCTTCTTCTGTTTAAGTTAAACTTCTAGAGTGCCCCAAAATGGAGGAATCTTCAGTGCATCCAGTGGATTTTATATCCAAAATTCAACATTCACTGGCTCCAGAGAAAGCCTTTGGTGGCTAGTTCAGATGGAACCTCTACATAAAATAGAATAGTTTAGGTTGGAAATCACCTTTTGAGGAATCTCATCCAAAACTCTGTTCCAAGCAGGGCCAATGGCCTTTCCAGTCAAATTTTTATATTCCCAAGAGTTGGGATCCATCTTCTCTACATCCTCCCCTTAGGAAGTTTCATGAAGTAATAAGATCTTCCCTCACCTTGAGTCTGAACACACCTTCTTCTCCCACCTTCTCCTCCTAAATCCTCATGGTCCAGCTCTCCCAACCATCCGGGCTGACCCACCCCAGTATCCCAGTGTGTTTTTTGAACTGGAGAACCCAAATAGGTCACACTGCCCGTGTTCCTCCTTTGATCCATAAGCAGCAGTAGGTCAGGAATGTGTCTGAGTCTTTCCAGGGTTATTCCAAGTCAAGGATGTCACAGTGTGACCAGTTCCTGGTGTCTTCCCTGCCCTCATGGCCTTGTCTAATTCCTGGCAATGAACAGCAGCTCCTGTTGACAGTGCCATCCAAAAGGCCGAAAACCTTTTAAAATTTGTTTATAATTAATTTTGCAAGTCCCTTTAATACGTGTTCATTATCACTTGGCCCCCCTGACACAGGTTAAAACCCGAAGGAATTGAAATTAGTGGATGCTTTAAGGATCATTCATCACTGATCAGCAGAAGCCACGGGATGTGTCAGGAGCAGTTTCCTTCACAGCGGGAAAGAGAGGGAAGAGAAAGTTCACACTTTAAACTTCCACTTCAATAGACTTAAAAACCAGATTACGTCGAAATAGGTGGTTTTTCTCTCAGCTTGAGACCCGAATGCAGAACAAAATAATTCGATTACGTCTTTGGAGGCACATCCCACAGAGTTATTCAGCAAGGAGCACACGTTGGCTGTTTTTCCTCTATCTGTGGGTACACACATGTAAGGGTGTGTGGACGTCCTACCTTCAATTCAAGCCATTAAATGAGCTGTCAGAGCTTTTTCCATGCCCTATTCCCAAACTGCCTCATCCAGGGGTGATCTCCTGACTCCGCTGACGTCAATCCGGGCTTTTGCAGCGGCTTCAAAGGAACAGGGTGAACTCAGGGAAGGAGAAATGTTCCTCAGTTCCCCACTGGGACGGGACAGGCGCCTTCATGTTGCTCTTTCCACCACCCTGAAGAATCCAGGCTGCTTGTTTATCCCAAGCTTGGCTAATTCCCACCCACAACAACCAGTCCAGGAGCACTCTCAGCGTTTCTTAGGCAGCCAAACTCTTGTCTCTGACCAGTGAAGGGTGAATGTCTCCTTCTCTGGGTGATTAGAACAAAACTAGTGACAAGAGGAAAGCTAAAAAATATGGAAGAAATTCCTGCTGGCTGAAGTGTCTCTCTAATTAACTGTTTGTGTTCCATAGAATTCTGTCTTGAGGGAGAAAATAGTCAAATCCTAGAGTTTTTTTTCCTAATTTTTTAAGTTGAGTGGTCATACCTATATAAGTCCTTCTATGTAGATTTTCATTATTAGAGATAAAATGAAAATAAATATAGATAAACAAATACAGATAATAATAATAAAAATATAGATAAAATAAATAAAGATAAAACGAAAATAATATGAAAATTACTGAGTAAATTACAAGGGTCAGTGATAAAATTAATTACTTCGGATGTCTCCACGTTTTACATCCATTGTGTCTTGTCTGCCAAGAACACTTGGAATATTCACAATTGGGACAGTTTCTTGAACTCAGGTGATTAGAGAGAGTGACACCCAATGTCATCCAGGTATTGAATTACAAACGTACGGAATTTCGCACACAGAACAAAAAATTGCACTTCCTGAAAATTGAATTTCTTTCTTTCTTTTTCTTTCTTCCTTTCTTTTTCTTTCTTCCTTTCTTCCTTTCTTCCTTTCCTCCTTTCTTCCTTTCTTTCTTCCTTCCTTCCTTCCCTCCCTCCCTTCCTCTATCCCTCCTTCCTTCCTTCCTTTCTCTTTCTTTCTTTCGTTTTCTTTCTTTCTTTTTCTTTCTTTCTTTTTCTTTCTTTCTTTTTCTTTCTTTCTCCCTTTCTTTCTTTTTATTTATTCCTTTTTCTTTCTTTCTCCCTTTCTTTCTTTTTCTCTTCCTTCCTTCCTTCTTTTGCTTTCCCTCTTTCTTCCCCTCTTTCTTTCCTTCTTTCCCTCTTTCTCTCTTTCTTTCCCTCTCTCTTTCCCTCTTTCTTTCTCTCTCTCTTTCTCTATTTCCCCCTTTCTTTCCTTCTTGGGAAAACCAAAGCATCTTCTGCCAGCAATTTAAGGAATATTTTGGGAAACGCTCAGGCTCCAGGAGATGAGTTTTAAGTGAAAAAACGTCTAAGAAGATAAAAGATCCTGTGCAGTGAGAGCTGATCACTTTGCCCCACTGATAAAAGAAATACCTTTCCTTTCTTGCCTCTTTCCACACTGGCCACCAAAGAGAAAAGCTGGGAATACAGGCTGGAATTATTTGTGCTTGTATAATCAAGCCACATCTATGCAAAATTACTTCTTAATGACTCATCACCCTGCACTGTTTGTCTTCTCCCGTGGCCCAGCTGACTGAGAGGAGTTGTTAGACCTCCCATCCCTCCCAGGCAGCCTCTATAAACATTTAAGTTTTATTAGCTGTTTATAAATTATATCAAAACACATCAGGCAACCCGTGGCTGGGAAAGAACAGCCATTGCTACATGTAATAAATAACAGAGCACGGGATGAAAACGGATATATACATTTTAAAGTGCACCTGAGGCACATTAGAGTCATTGCATAATATGTTTTGACTTAATAAGAAGATGCACTTTGTGTAAAGATGGTGCTTAAACTGTCTTTCCCTGACTGATTTATTAGATGTAAATGTTTACACATCCACTGTGTATCCTGGGGCTTGTATGAATGAAGTCAAAACAACCTTGGGGGTGGGAATGCATTTCAGTGGGTATGGAAAAATCCTCCTCTCACTCCCAGTGATGTAAAGCTGGCACAGTTCTCCTGACCACGCTGGAATTGCAATGAGTTGTCTTTGGGATCAAAATGATGCTTAAAAGAGGCAGAATAGATGCTCAATATTTTTTTTTCGTATTACGGGCAAAATAGTGAGATGTTTGAACAGCTTACACAGGGAGATGAGAGTTTCCCTGTCATTTGATTTCACAGAGATTCAATGACCTAAACCCTCCTGAAAAAAAAATAAAAGAGAAGGAAATGCTTTGTGGCTGTAAAATCAGACACTGTGGGCATGATTATGTAGAGAAATTATATGGATACATAGATATGTGTATCCCCAGGGAAGGGGTGGAGTCACCATCCCTGGAATGGTTCAGAAAAGGAGCAGATATGGCATTTGAGGACATGGCTTAGTGGTGTGGGGACAAAGGTTGGACTTGATGACCTTGGAGGTCTTTTCCAACCTTAATGATTCCTTGATTCTGTGGATAGAGAGGCAGAGAGAGGATTCTCAGAGAACCTAAAAGACTAAATTAATAATTCTTGCTAACCCTGAAATATTTGACCTCAGGCTGGACAAGGGGTCTGACACTTTCCTCCTTTCCTGGAAAAGGCTCCCTTTAGGATTCGTTCTAAAAACTTTTGAATGGATGGATCCAAAACTCTCTGGGGAGATCCCCAGTGCCTTTGACAGGGTTTATGTTCAATTCAGTGTCCCTAAGTGGGAATTCAGGATAGGTTCCTTTTGATTTATTACTGATCTCTTCAGAATTATGTGCTTGTCTACATATTTTGAGCACATGTTGGTACTTATAGATACCCTTATATGATGTTGTCCACTTCTGGATCTCAGATTAATTCAGAGTTAGGAATTAATGTGTCCTCTGAGGTTTATCCGGTGTTATCAGCAGCATCCCTCACCTTTATGTGGTAAATCTGGGAAGCAGGACTTCCAAAAATGTAGAAATTGCCCTGGAAGACAAAGATTGTAAATAATGGAAGTCACTCCCTCCTCCTCCTTTCTGTCTTAGTTTTTATTGCAGATTTCATACTGTTTGAAATACTCCCTTTGTCCCTTTGGGTCAGCTGTCCTGGTTATGTCCCTTCCCAAGATCTTTCTTGCCCAGCCCCAGAGGAGAATTTTGGAAAGACAACCTTGATAAACTGCTGTGTTATCAACACCTTTCCAGCATTTAAAGCACAATAAGAACACTACAAGGGCCGTTAAGGGGAAAATTGACTCCATCCCAACCAGACCCAAGACGAAGAGAAAGCCACTGGATGGAGCAGGAGATAAAAGCTGCAGGATTGTCAGGGAGCACAAAGATATCAGAGCTGGCTCAAAGCAGCCAGGCAGCACAAAGCTGACAGTAGCTGCAAAATCCCACAAGAAGGATCAATTAGCTCATGCTTCATTCCATCCTGGCTCAGTTAATACTCTGACACTGGAGTTAATGAATGTAAAATAAACTGGAACGCATCTCGAATGCCCTGGGGTTTGTAGACCTGGTTCCACTTTTTGTAGGTCTCTGAATGACACTCTGTGTGACCAGCCACCTCTCTGTGTTGGGATTTGCCCTCTGTAAATGGGTTTACGGGCACTTTTTTGAGTCCAGCACTGTGTGAATATAGTCTGTGCATTGACAGAGTCTTGGGTTCTCAAGAAAGAGCAGAAAACGTCTCAAGATAAAGAGGAAAGCAACTGGTTTCACAGAATCACAGAATTTTTAGGGTTGGGAGGGACCTCTGGAGATCATCCAGTCCAACCCCTCTGCCAAGGCAGGGTCACCCAGAGCAGGTGACATGGGAATGTGTCCAGGTGGGTTTGGAATGTCTCCAGAGAGGGAGATTCCATGATCTCCCTGGGCAGCTGTCCAAGTGCTCTGCCTCCCTCCATGGAGAGAATTTCTTCCTCATGTTGAGTTGGGACTTCTTGTGTTTTAGTTTGTCCTGTTACTGGGCACCACTGGGAAGAGTCTGGCACCATCCTCTTGCCACCTCTTGGATATACTTATATGGATTGATGAGATCCCCTTCCAGTCTTCTCTTCTCCAGACTAACCAGGTCCATCTCCTGCAGTTTCTCCTCATCAGAGAAGCTCCAGACCCCTCATCATCTTTGTGGCCTCTGCTGGACCCTCTCCAGTAGCTCCTTGTCTTTCTTGAACTTTGGGGACCAGAGTTGAACACAAAAGTTCAGGTGTGGCCTCACCAGGGCCGAGCAGAGG